GAGAGAGAGAGAGAGAGAGAGAGAGAGAGAGAGAGAGAGAGAGAGAGAGAGAGAGAGAGAGAGAGAGAGAGAGACAGACATATCAGGGGAAATGGCAAAACATCTTCCAATCAGCACACTACTACAGAATGGGATCATCCCCATTTCCAACGACAATTGCACAATCAGCAATTTTCTCTTCCACCCACATCACCTCCACTTCCACATTATCCACAGTCGTTACGGGGTCTATGAAGGCACTCGCAACATCCAGATGTACTTGTTAACCAATAGCTGAAAAGAGTTCCAATGACAACATCCATCAATATGCTCCCAATAATTTGATAGACGAAAAGAGGACGAAAAGATGGTCATAGAGTAAGACCCAGCTGGTGGGAAACAGATTATTAAGGTCCGGTTCCTGCTTTTATTTCACAACAGCACCAGTATCTTTTCAGGGGGTTGCCATGTTAACCAACCATCCATTGACATTGACAGAAAAAAACAAGGGATCATAACATGTCAAAAGCTAAACGAAAGTGAAAGCGAAAGTGAAATGCGCTCCCTCTCCGTCCAGGAGATGGGGATTATTCCCATAGTTGTCAGCAGGGCTCTGTGCACCATTCATTTGAGCAGTTGAGTCACCCACATTATCAGTTCCACACGCAGCATTTCCAGTTCCATTCCCAGTCCCATTCCCAGTTCCATTTCCAGCCCCATTCCCAGTTCCATTCCCATTCCCATTCCCATTTCCATTTCCAGTCCCATTCCCAGTTCCAGTCCCAGTCCCAGTCCCATTCGCAGCTGTCAACACCCAAGAAGCAATTGTTTACAAAATGACAAAGTAGTTTCATGGAGTTATCAGGGAGACTTCTACTTCCTCCCTCGCCACCAAGCTCCAGGTATGGCGCAGATAGCGGCCAACTTATCAAGCCCGCCAACACCACACAACCCTCCAACAGAATCGTCTGCAGCCCCCATGAAGTCCCCTACAGATGACGTGTCCACACAGCAGGGAGCGCAGCTCCCGGGATGGAGAAGCAGAACACCAACACGATGAAGATCAAGATGGTCGCCACTTCGTAGAACGCTGCAATGGAGAGCTTCAAAGTCAGCGGTGTCCAACCACCCCAACAGCACAGTAGGAGGAAGCGCCTACAGCACTTAGGGACTGTAAGCCCAGTGCTGTTCTCAAAGTAGCTGGCGGGCCCAGCTGTGGCCACCCACACCCCATCGGGAAGAAGATGTTCTGCGCTAAGGAATTAGCGCTGCCCCATTAACGTGACTTCCACCCGTTCACGGCCCAAATCCCTACCGGTCCACTACTACCTAAGACAGACCCACGGACTGCACTACAGCCTCACTGCACCTAGACTGGAACTCGGGAAAAGGGGACAGACAGACAAAACAGAAGGCCTACGGACTCAACACGGGAATCCAGGGAGGGCCTCAAGCACAGCAGAGATTTAGAAAAGTCCCAGTAGGCATAGGTCCAGGGATCAAACCCCAAAGTCAGCAAAACTAACAAAACTTGTACAGTTCTTATACAGCCCGCTAGAACCTGCCAGTTCATTGCACTTGTCTAGCTTCTGTAAATTGCCGGCATAGGATCTTTGGGCTTTAGCAGCATCGTCTGCCCTTTCTTTTTTTTTTGTATAGACAGTTCCTTTTGGCCCTGGCTCCTTATCCGTTCTGAGAGCGTCAGTTTCGCCCGGCAAGTCATTAAAAACAATATCGACACCCAAACACTACCGAATAATGCAATCCATCTGACCTCCCAATGGACGAGTACTATGGGCACCTCCTGAGGCCTGGTCGCCCCCCTTTTTTTTTTTCTTTTTTTTTTTTAAAGCTATGTTCTTCTCTCAATTTCACCTCACACTACCTACCTACCACTACTCCTAATTGTAGGCATATGGGGAACCCCGTAGCAGCCAGAACCGTGTTCACGAGAGAACATGCGGGGGCTGCTCCCGATCTGCAGGTGGGCGATACCGGCTAGGGGACAGCCGGTAGCATCAGGGACCATGCCAACAGGACCAATCCCTGTGCCTCCCCTCAGGTGGTGGTCCCCTCCCCTACGAACATCAGCAGACTCTGCTCAATGCCGATCGGGGGATCCAGTGGTCTATCTCTAGGTGGCGGCGCCAAGCATGCCCAGGAAGGTACATGGGGCCAATGGGGATTGAACCCATGACCTCCTGAATGCCACTTGCGTGCCTTACCAACTGAGTTAGGCCGCTGGATGGCCGCCCCCCTTCACTGCACCCTGGACCTTCCCTCAAAAAAAACCAAAAAAAAAAACAAAAAAAAAAAACACTACCGATTCTACCGAATAACTGTGATAGTATTTTTGAAGTTGCCGTCATGTAAGTGTTAACTAAAACCACCAGTACACGGGCACCTGAGGGCGCGGGCCTGACATCGAGGGCACCTGAGGCCCGAAATGTGACGCCGGCCGTTGATGATAGTCATCAATGGTGCGTGCCTGCCCCTAAAGTTGGGGCGTAACTTTCTTCTGGCGATTCTGCAAGGCCGGGGCCATGTACTGGTGGCTTAAGGTAAAAAAAAAAAAAGTTTACAAATTTGACGTAGTACTACAGCTGATCTAGCAGCAGCTGTTGCATCTGAAGCTCCAGTGTCGGAGCTGCTTTTTGCGAAACTGTACGGAGTACAACTTATAATAAAAGTTCATTATAAAACTGAACAGTGAATACACAGTCAAGTTAGGATAAAACAAGAGAGTCTGCCTGGCAAGGTTGCAGAGTCTGCAGACCTTAAACCACCAGTACATCCAGCTATCGGCCACAGGCCCTTTTCGGCGGCCGCCCGCCGCCGATTGGATTTATCTACGGCGCTAGGCCTTCGGAAAATTCGTAGGCGACGAGTTTTCTTTTCAGCACGGCTGGGGCCGTGTACTGGCGGTTTAATGGGCCCAGTCTCAGATGGAAGGACTTGCACAAGTCTGATTCTATGCGCAGACTAGAGATCAATCAACACCCAGGACCACAGGACGCCTGTCCCCGGTGAAATCCGTTAAAATGGGAAATCGATACAGAGAAGATTAGCATAGCCCCTGTGCAAGGATGATACGCATGAATCCAGAAATGGTCCAAAGTTTTGGCAGATTAAGGGGGAGGGGGACCACAGGATCCCAGGTGGGCAACCTAACCAGGGCATGAGTCGTCTCTTGGAGGGCACGAGTCGTCTCTTGGATCGTGTGGGAGAACAACAAACAGTTGTGAACATCGATGATCAGCAGCTGGTGGAATACTTCCACTCATCGTCTGTCCTTGTGTTTTCCTTGTTATCTAGCCCATCTCCCTTGGTTAAAGAAAGATCCATGAGCGAGTCCTTTGGTACATCCCTTAAAATTTGAATGGTACACAGAAGATTAGCATGGGCTCTGTACAAGCATGACATACATTAATTGAGAAATGGTCCCCCCCCAAAAAAAAAGAAGTTGATAATTAAAAAAATTTCCATGAGCAATGCTTAAAACTACCAGTACTTCCTAAAGTCGTGCCCGTTAACAAGCCACAATTTTAGGAAACGTACAGGTCACTACAGGAGCGCCCAAATTCATCCGACTACAAACATTTCCACTCTATTTTTTTCCGCGGCCAATAGGTGGGCCATGTACTGGTGGTTTAAATAATAAATATTACATAAATGATAAATAATAAATATCCGTGACCAGTGGAGAAAAAAAGGACACCTTACTTTGAAAAAAGAGCGTACAGAAGATGTATGACATGGCAGGAGGTTGGCAATGCAATGGAGCTGAATCGTTTCTAGTCAGTGTCGTCACACACCTTGCTACGGACGACAATCCAGCAGCTCTCTTTCGTGTCATGCGCCTTAACCTCAGACATAGGGATCTTGGGTTTTGCTGGGGTTTGAATGGACTTAACATCTCCTCCGTCAGGTAGCCGAGTCTCTGCGTGGGATGGATCGTCGCTGCTCTCTGCTTCTTTCGGTTTCACCATCCAGCCACCTTTCTGATTCCCTGGCTGAGTTGGATGCTCAAAACGCACGCCAATGCAACCTTCTTCTAACCAGCAAGGATGAATCTTCACCCTGAACCAGCAATTGTTCATCATGCCCTGCATAACAACATGCCACGGGTGATGCACGGATGAGAAAGCCCGCTTCGATTCTCGTGGGGTGATGCATTACTGCGGCTCTGCCGTTCACTCTGTGTGCTTATCTAAGCTGGAGGAAGGAGGAATGAACTGTCAGGAACCTTTTCTGTGCAGCAAGGGTTCAACC